CAAACGCTGACCCTAATGAAATTGGAGAGGTACAATTTATGGGGTTTGATTACCAAAAACGGGGGTACGTATTATGCGTGAGCAGAAACATTTTCCCACACTTTCAGGAGTGCGTATTATGGATGAAGACGTATTATACATGAGGAATTACGATGATGTAAATAAAAATAGTTTTATAATTACAAGATTTGAATTAATACAAACAAATATAAATTGTTCCTTATCCGATTGATGTTATATTCGGCTTCATCCGAATCTCAACTCGAGAATTTTGTAGATGAACGCAATTGTTTAATCCACTCTTCAGGAGTTTTCAGCGCTTAAACCTCCTGAGGAGTGGATTGTGCAATTACCAAAAAGTCCATCGACAAAACTCTACAGACGGAGTGCGGATAAAGCTGAATATAAAATAAATTGGCTAAGTGGCAAATTACATTTATCTGTATTAATCCTATTAATGTTTTATCTTTGATATGGAGTACTTTATTGAAATCACCGCCTGCCTTAAATGTCCGATATTTCATATTTCCGCTGTTTCTGGCTTTATCGCTATTTACAAGATTATGAAAATATGTAAATCAACTATAATGAAACATGAAACATTTATTATTTGCCATTTCATAAAGAAATAAATATGAAAAGAATGCTTTTATTTTTATTCAAAAATTTATAAAAATGTCTTTGAACTAGAAAATTTAAATAAACACATAATGGCGAGTAACTGTGATTACAAAAATTGAAAAAAAAAAAAAAAAAAAAAAATACATTTTCCGGGCGATTCTTTCATTTGCTCAGACCAGATGAATTTAATAAATTACGTTGAGAGCTTTTCTTCCTCCTACATATTTTGATAATTTTGCTATTTTTAATAAATTTTGGAATAAAATATTTCTTTTCAAATTTATTTCTTAATAAAATGGTAAATAATAAATAATAATAATATGGATGAAAATAATAGGAAGGTCCGGTGGAGTAATGGATAGCGGTTCGGATTGAAGAATCGGAGTGCTGAGTTCGAATTCCAGTTAAATCTGTTATATTCCCTTACGCGCTTGGGAAAGGTATGAGTCCTCCCCCCGCCAGCTATGGGTAAATAGCAGGTCTACCGCACAAAGAAATGGCAACCTACTTCGGGAAAAAATCTGCCTCGTCAGTCATGTATTGATCATCTATGTGTGTATTATGCATGGCACATAACTGACTGAAATAATAAATCATTATAAAACGAAATAGCTATCGCATTCTTGTAAATAAACATGGTGCAAAGGTTAAGCATTGCCAGATTCTATTTTTATGTAATTTTTTTTTTATTATGCGTTCAATCCAAGCAAGGAGGTGAAGCCACTAATATGCAAGGGGTTATTTATTGGGCGTGAAAGAATTAGAAAACAGAATCATTATTAAAGAGCGAGAACAATACAAAGGTAATCTGGAAGACAGTAGTTAGCAATTGATATTGCATTTAAGTTTTTGAAGATCAAAATTTGTCACCACAAAGACAGGGTGATGCTTTTGGTGACTGAGTTGACAGCAGTAGTCCATCTTAGGCCTGATTTGGTTCTTGTAAAGCACGAGGAATAAGCTACTTTCTGCAGTGGCACGGGGAACCTACCATTTTTCGTGCATCTTTAGTGATGGATCGTATGTACGAGTTCTCCTTGAGGTCCGAGGTTAGTTCAAGGCAAGGGAACTCCCTGATGGGACATCAATTCACTATTATACATTTTCTTTTTGTTCTTGAGAACTTACAACATTAAAATATTAAACACGATTTATTATGAAAATATGTGAACCAACTATAAGAATCCGTATTACCATTCTACAAGGTTTAAATCCATCGGCAATGAGCCGATATTTTGCCAACGATTCCCATAAACGGTATAATAAATAATGTAAATAAACAATCTAATAGTGTTTAATTAAGTTTTTTGTGGTACAGAATTTAATAATAGATAGGAAAAGACAATATTTATAAGGCATTTTTAAAAGCAAAAGCTAACATAAAAACAACCGGTTTCGTCCCAGGACTTAGCAAGTTTATTTATTCTGGGAATTTAAAAAAGCGTGTAAATTCATTTTTAATTAACGAATGTAATCGAATGGGGAAAAAAAATGAATTTCAAGAAACTAGAGTCCAATAATATTCAGACCCAGCAAGCATTCCCTCTGTTTACAAAGGGAAGGCTCACGGGATCTGATATACATGGACTCTAGAACCTTGAGGTGAAATGTGGAGTGGGACCTAGATAAAATTATAAATCGGTCACCACTAAAATTTTCCACACATTTCCTTCTATTTATTAAATGTTCAGCAATAGCAGAACCAGAACTGTTAGTCAGTTGGCTATTCCTGGAGGACGGATTCAAAATCCTGGGTGGGTAAATGCTGTTTTATTCTCGAATTCAAACGCTGGGACGTCCTCCCTATGTAGTCGTGTTCGTGTATTAAATAGTGTTTAATATTTTATTTGTCAGTCCTCGAGACCAAAAAAAAAAAAAAAAAAAAAAAATGTATAAATTCACTTTAATCATCACTTTTTAAAATAAACATTGCTAACGACTGGAGACAGTTAAAATAATAGCGGTGTCAAGGGAAGAACCTTTCTTTTGCTTCAGTTTTCCTGCAGGCATTAAAGTCCAAGTTTACCAATTTTTCTATGTACTATATCCCTTCAGGATATTAGCTCTTCACAATCTTGTCTTTGTTATCACTACTAAACTTTGTTTCATCATCTATTTACTCAAGCTTATTAGGTAAGTTATGTAGTGTTTTCTACTTGCCTTCAATATCCTTTGCGTGTCAAGTTTTCCAAGCCCTCTCTCCCTAGAGATTTCAACTCTTGTTCACATGTTCATTCCAGGGTATTATCAGCATCCTTCTGTAGAACCACATTTCTACTGGTTAAATTCTTTTTCATCTTTGAGAAGATTGTGCAGCATTCACTGCCATATAGGTCATATATCATGTAACAAGTTCAGTTGATTGCTATGGATAAAGGTCTACAACTGACCTCATTGGTCTGTCGTCCTACACCATGTACAATGACATTGCACAAACTGATTACTTTTTTTTCTTGAGCATTGCTATAAAACTCTCCAATGGGGAATTTTTAATGAAAACATGATTCAAGCATACATCAAATTTTTTTTCACATAAAAAAAAAAAAAAAAAAAAAAAAGCAATAATAAAGTTTCAAAGAGATTTTTTTTTTGAATTTCTCGTACGAGGAGTTATTTACACTATTTATATAAGGACTATTGTCCTCACCTTCGTTTTTATCGCATTTCAGCCATTGTGCTACATCTAATGAAGACAGGAGAGTATAATAGCTGAAATGCTGCCATAAAACCAACAAAGATAAGGACAATAGCCCTAATATAAATGTAAATATTGAAAAAGTGGCTACTATCCTTGCAAATAATGGGGAAAACATTGAATAAAAAGTAATTGTATTTTTGTTTTTGAATAAAGAAAAAAAAAACTAATCATGAATCCACATAATAGTCTCTCTTATTGGAAATGTTGTTATATTATTGGAATATTGGAAATCAAGCACTTGGGAACTTTCTGTGCCAACTTCTAATAAACATAATACAGAACATTCATAGATTGTAAGACAGTGAAAAGTTGTGATTATCTTTGAAAAGTTGACCAGAATACAAGTTTTGGAAGCTTACAGTCCAATTGAAGAAGTTAATATAAATATATAAATGAATAACCAATTAGGAATTTCCTGTACTTTACATAAATTGTGGCTATGTACCAGACTATCAAAGGTGATGCTGAAAATTTCTGCTTGACCTTCAAAAACCTGATTTTGGGAAGTGGATCAAGCCTAGAAATTTCAAACATCTCCTGGAAAACAGAAAGAGAACATTGATATCAACAAAATTTGATAATGTATGAAGTAAACAGAAACATTATTGAAGAGTTGATTTCAACCTGAAAGTTTAACAATTTTGTTTTCCAACTGAACACCAGATATTTCATTATAAGGATAACGGTTTATGTTGAACTAGCAATGCTTTTGGAAGAACTGATAAGAAATGAAACTGCAGTGTGCCATGAAGACTTAAAACAATTCTCCTGGCCTGGTTGCCAACCAAGACAAAGAGAAGACAGCTTGTCCTTAACATCTGGGTAGGTGAAGATTCACACATTTCTCAAGGGTTATTTGTGCAAAAGTGAATGCACATATACTTGGTCTGTTGACACATCTCAAGTAACGAGTAGAGCAGCTTTGATACTTGCACCCCCCTTTGATATACACCAACTTTGTGTGTGTGTATATATATATATGTGTGTGTGTGTATATATATATATATAGCAAAATCACACACCAGAGCTTGGCTAAAGAATCTTTTTTCTTCTTCTCCCTTTGAGTCAGCAGGTAGGCCAAAAATTCCTATGGGAAATTTAGCATCTTTTTCACAGTAAAAAGTTTTGAGAAATCTTGCAAAATCAAATAATTGGTGGATTTTAATGAGATTTCCACAACTAAAAAAAAAAAAATTAAAGCCTAGGTATTGCATTTTTTGTGATGGTTCCTACATTTAACTGCCATGTACTTATAACTAATGTAGTAGTGAGGGAGAGAGAGAAGGAAAAAAAAGAGGATGAGATGAAAATTTTGACTGCAGTTGTTGGCCATAGAAAAAGGGAGGATTAATATAGAATATCACCCCCCCCCAGAAAACAAAGAAATTAAAATGTTGTGCATGCTTTGTTTTCCGCCTGTACTTTTTATCTTTTGTAGTGCCTTCATTAAATTTTGTACTTCTAGAATATTTGGGTATTTCACAGAAATTTCCTGCCTCTTGGCTGGGGTTTTTTTTTTTGTGTATGAATGTCTCTCCATTCTTAATTGGTAAAGTAAAAGACATCAATATATAATTTCTGAACCTTACTATTTGCAATGCCCATAAATAAAAAAACAAATAGAATATCTTAGTAGTCACAATTCAGAAAATTTATTCCATGAATAGAAAGTGACAAAAATCTATTTCAGCTTCTTTTTGGGGCGAAGATTGTTGCTGTGACCACACTTCCTCTTACGGCAGTTGGTGGCACGTGGATGGAGGCGAGCATAGCATCTGTGCAAAGGAAAATAAAATAAATAAGTATAGGAAAAAAGAAAACACTAGGAACATGTAGTAAAAAATCATTTTAGGCAAGACACTGCACAACCAATCCAGTTATTAGTGAATATATAGATGGCAATCAAGTTATGAGAAATAAAAAGTAAAGAGGGTACAGTGAAGAGAGAATGTGAAGAAAGAAAAAAAAAAACAAAAAAAACTTACTTTCGGCAAATCATCTTCTCACAGTTGTACTTAGAGGCCAACATACGTAAACTGGGCTCAATGATACCACCAGGTAAGCGGAGCAACAAGTGAAGTGTGGCTCCTGTAAAAAGAAGGAAGACATATGTAGCCTCTTTACTAGGAAAAAAAACCATAGCCCTCCCCCACTCTCCATTCAGATGTTAAAGATATAAACGTTTACTTTTATAGAAAGAGAATTGGAAAAAATCCATACCTGTGGACAGACCATATTCTGAAAGTTTGGCACTCTCATCAAGCTGTTTTCCACTATAGACAAGTCTTTGAAGATCTTGAGGGATTCCTGGAAAAAGAAAGGGATTTAATTCTTAAGAGACAAAATAGAAAAAAAGTTGGCTCAAATAATTGTATCTTATAATTTTCAGAAAAGAAAAAAAAAAAAAATTTGTTTAAAGCAAATGATAAGTTATACATAATGAAGGGAAATGGCAAGATTTTAAGAGAGATGGGCCCATTTCAATAAACACCAAAACAAAAAATAAAACACTTCCAACAGATCACAAGAAAAGCTAAAAATATGAAATTAAGGATTCCCATAATTCATCAACAGGCAAAGATAAGTATATTGCACCACCCCATAATGCTTTAGATATTCATGACAATTCACATATTTATCAAATGGTAAATTGTTGCCATTTTATATTTTTAACTTTGTCTACTGCACAGCATAGTAGGGTCAATTGGGCACCGCCTATGAGAAAAGGAGCCCCATGACGCAATTCACCCTGACAGACATTTGGAAACGAATGCTGTGGTGCTTAGTATTTCTGCTAGAAGCTCCAATACAAACATTTCAGAGTAGAGTTGGTTAAGTCTAAAAGTGATTATGAAGGAAAAGTGTTGTTTTTCATCAGCATAATGCCAGACTTTATGTTTCTTTGACAACCCAGCAAAAATTGTTGCACTTGGATGGAATGTATTACCCCACCCACCATATTCACCAGACATTGCTCTTTTGTATTTTCATTTATTCAGGTCTTTGCAAAATAATCCCAAAAGGTAAAAATTTTAATTCTTTGGATGACAAAAAAACCCACCATAATGAGGTCTTTCCCAAGAAAGATCATCATTATCTTGGAAGATGGAATGTTTAGGTTTAAAGTTTTGTGTTTTAATTTCCTTTAAAAATCACCATGTACTTTTTAGACAACCCAACATACAAATATATATAAAATAAATAATACCAATTGGTAGGGATAATTCCAAGGAGGACATTAATCCAAAGAGTGCTCAATGTAAGTAACAGAGCAATGTAATAAATTAAAACAATCCTTAAAAATCCATTTCAGTCATAATTTATTCCATGAATATACTTAAATATTCATCTCTTCAGACTGAAGGTTTTTTTTGGGTTTTTTTAAAAGAAATTAATCAATTTGTTCATATAAAAAGGAAAAGGGAAAGAAAAAATATTTCATAATAATAAAAAAAATTAGCAAACTAAGCAAAAGAGAGAGGGTAGAGCTGAAAAGGTGAACTTGAAACAAGTTTTTCCTTAAAGGGCTGAACAAGTTAATATAATGGGTAAGGGAGGGGGGGGTGATCAGAATTAAATGAGTTACAGTAATATGTTTAATAGTCATGTCATTTAGACAGCAAAACTCATAGCGCATTATAATAAAAAATAAATCGAGAACAAATTGAAAGAACTTTAAAAAAATAGATAAGGATAAAAATAATATTAATAATTAAAAATTATAAATGATGTAGGCAAGACAATCACATAAATAACCATATAAAATTGTGAATACATGTACACATACATGTTAGTACCAATATAAAACAAAATCAACACTAACAGTATCTCCCCAAAAACACACACACACACATATATATATATATAAAAAGTTTTGAAATTAAAATATTGTTTCGTTTGGTTTATTTAGCTTTAAAGGCATATAAACCTTGAAAGTTTATTTAATGCTTACTAGTTTTCCCTGATAGGTTCATATGAAGAGAATATGTCTTCCTTACCAGAAATCACTTTGTAGATCAGTTTTCGTTGACACCTTATAAAGCACGGTTTTGTCAAGCACTACATGTATTGTTGATAATCACCTCTCCAAAACTGTGTAGCTGGAGTTACTTTTTTCCTTCCAAATTAATTTACTAGTACAGGTTAATTAAACGAATTTATTGATTTTTTATTTTTTTTTACAGATTTTTCTGTAGATCCCAATTTCTTTAATGAAATTTTTTAGATGTTGGTGGGTTATGTATGCGTGACCAATACAGAGTTTGGCTAAAACCACCTCCTCTCTCCTTATCTTTCTGGAACTTGCCCGTCTTTAACTGATAATAGGTTGAATACTGAAAAAGTTTGCTGTTATCGTAGCTGTTCCATAATTGCTGCCATTTGTCTTTAATGGTCCTGTTTATGAAAATCTGAAGTCAGTGTGAGGCACTATTACTTTAGAGGGAGCCATGTTCAGAGATTCCTTGGCCATTTTTGTCTGCTTTTCCATTTCCTTGTAGGCCAATATGGCTTGGTATCCAGCATAGAACTATTACTGTATCTTTTTCCTTATAAATGGAGTCAAAACTATTTAATTATTAAGGAGTTTTTCATGTTTTTATTCTTCAAAGCCGTGAGAACAGATAATGAATGTATCTGACTCACAAGATTTTATAATATCTAAAGCCAGATGCATGGCTGTGGCTTCTGCACTGAAGATTGAGGCATTATCGGGCAATCTTTTCTGCATTATTATGTTGTCAAGTCTAGCAGAACAATCTACTCTGTTTAACAATTTAGGACCATCAGTGTAATATATGCTTATGGTTTAGGTGAGCTCATAGAATATTATGAATTTCTTCCATATAATTGGATGTTAGAATTAATTTTGGAATATTTGGTAAGGTTTAGCGAAATCGTATGGTACTTCATTAACCAGGGAGGATTTTTTTGAGTTGGTGGATTTAAGTATAATAGTTGGATTTAATTGTTTTGTTGTCTAGCTTTTTCATGTAAAATCCAAAAGGTTTGATAGAATTTTCTTTTTTATCAAAAAGAAATTCATATTTAGGTTTGAAGGTATAGTGATATGCAGGGTTAGTTGGACATGATTTCAGTTTTAGATAATATTGTAATGCTAGTTTTTCACGTCTCAACTTCAAAGGTGCCTCATGGGCTTCTGTATATAGACTTTCTACGGGTAATGTTTTGAAAGCCCCCAGAGCCAGTCTTAATCCTGCATGGTGTATAAGATCAAGGATTTTTAGATTTAGATCTTATTAGAGATCTATATAATTTTAGGAGTGATATATGATCAGCTCCCCAGTCAGTGTTTGCCACAACTCGTAATAATTGTAATGCTTTGAAACATCACTGCTTTATGTACTTTAAGTAAAGTATGAATATCAGCTGTCATTTTGATTTTGTTCCCTTCCAGTTCCAGGGTTGGGTCAATGTGCATTTTTCTGATTACAGAAATGAATACATTTTGTCTTGGTTCGAGAGAATTTAAAGTATAATAGTTGGATTTAATTTTCAACCGTCCATCGATTTAATTTATCTAGACATATTTGCAGTTGCCATTCTGCTGTATGCAGGGTTTTTTTTTATCTGTAGCAAGTCAGAAGGTCATCTACGTATAGTGAACCATCAACACCTTGATTCAGACAATTAACAATGTTTATCTTTATGTTAAAATGTGCGAAAGATAAGATACAACCTTGTGGAACTCCTCCTTGGATTTTTAAGTCTGAGAGTGTTGATCCAACCCTAACCTTGAAACTTCTCTCAGATAAAAAGTCATTTATCAAAGTGAGCAGTCTGCCTTTTAATCCCAAATTGTATAAGTCATTCACTATTCCCAGCCTCCAAGTTGCCTCATAGGCCTTTTCTAAATCGAAGAAAATGGCTATTGCATGTTTTTTTTTAATAAAAAGCCTCTCTATTGAAAGTTTCTAGTCTAATGATGTTGTCTATGGTACCTCCTTTATTTCAAAAACCATTCCGAAGATTGGAAATTAAACCACTAGTTTCAAGATACCAGTTCAGTCTTTTATTATTCTTTCTAAGGTTTTGCATACACAACTTGTTAGTGTTATAGGTCAAAAGTTTTTGGGATCCGATTTATCTTTATCTGGTTTAGGTATAGGAACCACAATAGTTTGTTTCCAGCTATTAGGTAATTTCCCCTTAAACCATATCTTGTTAAAAACATTTAAATATTTTATGGATTTTGGAAGGAGCTGTTTATGGTTGCACCAGAAGCAGTGCTTTATCAACAGCACCCACTTTATCCGAGATAATAAATATAAATATAATATATATATATATATATATATATATATATATATATAAAATCAGTTGTGTTCTTTATTTTACCTGTCTATGATCTTGACATTTACTTGTATTATTTTATCTGTTATATATTCAAGGTGCACCATAATACACAGAAAATGATGATTGTACAGGGTTAGACACCAAATGAATTTTAATTCTAGTAGCTTTTTTTTTTTTTTTTTTTAAATTACATATAGTAATATTATCAATAGGAATCAATAAAATTGATGAGCATCATAAAAGAATATCCCATTATTCATGAAATAAATTATAACCGAAATGGATCTTTATGGTTTTCCTTGACACATACATATAAAATGAACATCTCGCTTTAAAGGAATAAATTATGTCTAGGATGATGCCCAGTACTGCAATATTTGACTACTGTAGAGCTACTAGTATTGCTCAGAAGCTGGGATCACATTATGCATGAAGTAGGCTTATACACAAGTATATAATCTAACAATTTTGAACTTTTATTAAAATACTGCAATAGTTGTCAACCAAGTCATGGAATTTAAATGAATTTTTAGAAATTAAAAGCCATGCAAAATGTCTCCACAAACAGTTAATATATTTAAAGTAATAATTATTACCATCTCTGGCATAGATACTGTCCATAACATTGGCAGCAGTGTCAGAGTCCTGCACCTCAAAGGTGAGGGTTTGCCCAGATAAATTCTTCACAAACAATTGCATCTTTTGACTTCTGCAAGAAAAAAAAAAAAAAAAAAAAAAAAAAAGTCAAATTTCTAAGTTTTAGCAAAAATGGTAAGCAAAAGAAATGGTACAGAACAATTCATGACAAACTTAAATGCAAACATTGACTTAAAAAGGAAATCCTTTTTAAAAACCAGATAAAATCAGTTTCTGAATTAATGAGCTCAAAGATCTATCTATAAAAATGTATACCTGTTTGCCAAATGAAACAAATTTTACCTAATATATACTTTTTGTGAAACTATTGGTATAGAAAATTTCTACAACTACAACTTTTGAATGCAAATAAAAAACAAAACTTTAAATGCAACACTAAAGAAATGAAAGTTTACTTCATTTTCAATATTTTGGTAATATTTATACCATATTTATATATGTGGTGCAAATATATCAACAGGCATCTTGCAATCAGAAATCTTATGTGACTATGAAACAAGATCTGCTGCTTAACAAGTGTTAAAAAAAAAAAAAGTTTCATACAAAAAGAATTCTATGAAGAGAAATTTGGAAGGAAAATAGAGACACCAAAGATGAAAACAAAATGACTTTTCATTTTCAGCCAAGCTTTCATGTCTTGTAAATCTTAGTGATGTCAGAGATATTAATCTTTCTTTAGGTTAATTTCTATGTAGACATTCCTTTGATACAATAAGGAAGTGGAAATATCTAAAATTAGTTTAAGAACTTATGTAGACCTAATATAAAATATTGGAAAAGAAGAAATCGGAGTTGAGATGTCTTTCTCCTTACTGTATAGACTTAGTGAGAGTCTATTAAACTATTAGTGGTAGTAGTATTTTGAGGCTACTGATAATCCCATTAGGTAGCCACTGGCTGTAACCAGCTTGACTGCCTAATGGCATTTAGACATGATTGATTTTAAAATTTGATTTCAGCTTATAGAAAGCCAAAACAAACTGCTTTTCACTCAAAGGAAAGTTATCATAGAGACCCAAGGCTAAAATACATTCTTTGCACCAATGCAGATGCTGTCATTCTTTAGTTGACTAAAAATTATTATTTCCACACACTTTCCTAATCAAAAACCAAAACAGTTTGGGGGCCCAAAGCATTCTAGCAGTGAATAGGAAAAAAAAAAAAAAAAAAAAAAAAAAAAAGAAAGTGGAGAATATTTGCTAAAAATTTCATTTAATAAAAACTGTCTGCTACAGTCTAAAACCTATTTTAGGAAGCAGCATTTAAAGTGATAAAATTGAATTACTTGAAAATTAAATTATCAAGTTGTACTTGAAACAAGACCAATACATTTTTTTGTTTTGTTTATTTTCTTATTTTAGCCTGAACCAAGCAAAGATAAACAGTGCTAAGAGGAGGAAAGCAGAATAAAAGGATAATACAGAGGGGATTTTGACAACAGAAAGACCAACGGGGTGCAGCCAAATTAATATAAAACAAGTACTGCGCCCACCCGCAATTTAAAAAAAAAAAATTTTTTGGCTCTTGGATAAGAAGGACTTAAGTGTGGCTAAAATATGTAGGAAATGACAATCTCTTTAAGCTTTATAACTGTATGTGACTTCATTTGCTGTACAAAAAGCTTATCAAGCCACTGAAAGTGACTGTCCTAAACAATAGTCTGAATTTCATAATTGTGTTGTCATATCCTGCTATGGCGACAAAACAACTTGAGTGAAATTAACAACAAGGTTACTGCACTTGGGAGGCCTTAAAAAGAATGCAGTAGAAAAGAAAATAATAATAATGCAGAATGCTACAGATTAACCATTACTTCTGTGATCAGGACAGTGATATTTTGACATTTACCTATTTGACAATATTCCAGCTAAATTGATGTAGACAGAGCTGAATACTGGATTAATTTTGTACAAGTTGAGTTACATGTGCTTAAGAACCAGTGTGTGGACATGTATACAATAAGGTGTAAAAAGTCATGGGATAGCAATAAATTAAGCTAACGAAAGACGGCAACATTGTATCATGACATCATGGAAATGCCCAGATCTCTATCAGTTGTACTTTGATAATCTGCTAAGTCAGACAATATCTACGCAATATTGATTATCAAAGTACAAATAGGGGAGATGAATAGGACAATCCACAACTTATATCATGTGTACACCATAAATACTTTATGGAAGACGTTACTGAAAACAAAACAATGGATTTTTAACGATTGTCTATGAAAAGAAACAGTACTGACTAAATTATATCTAATGAAAAAAACACTAGCTACACACTGATCAGGTCAGCTTTGTGCTGCTTTAGCTTTCAGCAGTCAGAAGACTCTCCAGAGTGCCTATGTCAACATTATGACATCAAACAGTGCCTCATCTAGATATGAAATGTCAAATTAGACCTTGGATGTTTGGCTTGGTTCAATGAGTCATGCTTCCAATTGTCAAAACACAATCCATAGGTTGAACCTGTTGGTCTGACTAAACACACTATTGATGACTGGCCACCAGTGATTTGCCTCGCGAACATTTGCACCCATTCATGGACTCCATGTATCCCTACAACAATGGATTATTCCAGGACAATGCACCACACATCAGGTCAAAGTTAATCAAAATTTATTTGGAGAAGCATTTTGAAGACTTCCAACAAATGGTGTGGCCACTATATTTACATGCATTTCTATGACATAGTAAAGAGGTTTATTTGCATGCACAATTCTGCACCTACAAAAAGCAGTGGGCTGCAGACAGTTGTGGAATGGTTTGCTATCTCTACAAAAGTCTTCCCGTCAATTGTGGAATCAATGTCACATCAACTTGCTGCTTTTCACAGCACCAGGATAAGTTGTACATGCTACTAGACAAGTAACCCATGGATGGGGTAGTAATAGCATTCCTGCGAGTCCACCAAAGTGGTTTTGCTGTTTCTGCTGCCATTGGAACAGCACACTGAACTACAAGTAGGACTAGCCACACATGTATTGCTATCACCATTGCATATAAAACCACATCTTATGAACATTTGCCACAACTTCAAGGAATCTGCAGCTTTCAACTATCTTCATACCTTCTTTGTGATGTCTACAACAAAAATAAAGGCAGGAGCTCCAAACAAAGGTTCTAGGGGGCAAGGAAATCCTTAAGAATCTCATTAGGAAGGAGAAGCCAACATTGCTGCAGTGATTTGGACCCTCCTGACTAATCCCATTTGGTTGTAGCCATCTTTGGCAGGTAGACTAATTCCCCACCATAGTCTATAATTTCAACTGTCATTCTGACCTAGACTGACTACATAATGACATTACTAACCACAGAAAACAACTAACAACGCAGATGACTGAACAAAATATGATTGAAAGCAGTGATTCTAGCAGTAGTGATGAGGTTTTAGGCTTTGATGAGTAAATTTGTTACAAAACAGATGTACAATAAGTAGGCGTCAAGAAATAATAATTTTCCAATTTTTTTTTTTAATAGATTTTATAAAAGTTGAAATGCAGTTTGTAATGTAAATTCATTGTAATATGATCCATCTATGGAAATCAAAACAAAACATGCATAAACTACATGATTGCTTAAAGTGTTAGTAAATAGTCTTAATTTATAATCTGGAGTGCATAATTGATAATGTGAAAGAAGTATGTTATGAGTTTCAATTTTGTTTTTTTTTTTTTTTACATTTCAAGAAGTTGTATGGGCATATGTGCTTTGGTTTCAATAGGACCAACTTACATAAATATGACAGAGCTATTTACATGTATACAATCTAATATGGGCCCCCCAAAGCGGTGTAATGGTTAGCAAGCTTGTCATGCTAGAACAATTACGAATGAATAGTGAGTTTGATTCTAATTGGGTGCCCTATACTTTTCGCCTTATGCCACATCTAAGCTACGCTTGGAAAATCATTATATATATACAATCTAATAATAAAATACATTCATGGCTTGGCATGCTTAATCTACATTAATAAGAGAGAAATTTTTAAAAAATTATTTTAGATCTCAGTAGTCTCTACTCAAATACTGTGAAAGTCTTTCTGACATTCTAAAGCAGCAATATTAGCTCTTGTTTTCACTTGCAATGTTATATATATTTTTTCTACTCATCACCATAAATTCTTGTTTTTATATACAGTAATGTTTTCTGATATAATAAATGCTTTTGTAATGTAGTGGTGGCTTCTTTTAAATATCAAGTAGACCAAAAAACATTATTTTCTGCTTAAGATGAGGGTGCACCTAAATTCTTCATCCTGTGTAGAAACATGTTAATTTTGTTTTCCTGACTTTATGCAAATAAATTCCACAATATTACTGACTGGGTCTCAAAAGTCAAATTTGAAAGGAGCAAGTCTCTTGCAACTATTTAAAAAAAAACCCAAAAAACAAGCAATTAGTAAATAACACCCCAAAGAGTTATTGCTATGTCAACAACAAGAGGATAATTTTTTGTTTTTCAATTTCACGGTTCAAAAATTAAAAATATCCTCTTCCACTGATGTTAAGGGAGAAAAGAATAAAAAATGATATGCGAAATATGCTTAACGTGCATGAATATTATCAACAAGTGTGTAAAAGAGAGATTGGAGATAAGACATTGACCAACTTCTTAAGAAATGGTTCTACTAAATGAGCAAGATGAGAAGTAACTTTAGAAACTATTTTGAAAGTCAATAACTCAACTCCTGCATCGAAAATCTAAACTAGTTTTGATTAGAGCAGAATTCATCTAAATCTTGAAAAGTTTTCTCACAAAAGTGGTGTCAGTAGGTTTCTTTAAAACACACAAAAGTTACACCTAGAAAGAGCCAGTAATAGTTGCCTAGAGGTTTAACATTTTTAAATCAAATCGGGAAAACCTATTGGGACTGATGAACTTGAGATTTCTATTCAATAACTCCGGGAAAACCAAAACAGTGCATTCACACGAAAGAATATATGGTTTAACTTTAGGATTTAGTACAAAATTACATTAGAAATACTTCAAAATTAGTTGTATCAGGACCGGTGTTTGTTTTTCATATCTACATGACTATTGTTAAAAAAAAAGTTTTAGGCACCTGTTCCATACAAACTTTATAAACCAATTTAAATATTTAAAAAATAATAAAAAAAATGTTGCCTTTAACAGCGTAGCAATTATAGTCAGAAGTTCATTATTTACAAAAGGAAAAACAATTGTTTTTGATTAACATCTATACAACAACAAATCAAGTCATTTTTAAACCGATTCATTATTCAAAAAAAAGAAAAAAAGCCACGTGCAATACAGGAGCATTTTGGTTTTAGCAAAAAGACAATTCTTAAAAACAAGATTACATAATAAACAAAACTTTTTAACCGCAAATCTAGATAACCTTTTCTCTTTTATACATAATTCAAACGATACGATTTACTTTCTTCTCAAAATAGGGACACTTATGAATAGTGTAAGTGAGAGACAAAAAAAATGGAAAGTTAAGAACAAAGATTTTACCGTTTAAAATCAAATCCCTACTTCTGTTTAAGGTTTCATGGAATTACATAAATGGTTTTATAAAAATTGGTTTATTACGATTATGACAAATTTTTTAGCTCCTTTTATTTTAAGTCAATCCTTCGTCTTGAAATTAATTACGAGTAAGAATCGGTTTTTATAGCATAAATTTTAACGAGTAATCGAATTCGCTAGTATAATTTCACTCGAGATATTAAGAGAAAATAAATCTTAATGAAACAGACAATAATTAATTATAACCAAACGATAAAGTAAACTGTCTTTTTGGGGCTTGGCATTCCATTATAAAACGATATTTGATTCAAGAACAAAAGTAATCTTTTCCACAATTTTATTTTTAAATAAGCAATAATTGTACATGAAATTATCACACTAAAATTTCATCTAATTAGAAAAAAAACAAAAAAGAAATTATTAAAGACAACTGTTACTTAAATTTTATAAACGTAGTAGTCACACGTGGGCGATAGGACAATGTATTTACTTTACGTTAGGAAGACATTTATACCGAAAAATGAACTGCCAAACAGATAACACATTGAAAAAAAAAACATTATAAAATTATTCAACAACAATTTTTTTGTAAAAATCGAAATCAAATTAGGAAATAATACATGAAATGAAAAAGAAATGTGGCAGCAACCATCTTACCTGCTGAAAAAAGAGCGAGAAAGAGACGGGGACTATGTATTTCCGGCAAGGACTCGGTTATGGGATAGACATTTTCTGACGTCATGTCCGCTAAATTCCATTATTCTCGGAATAAGGGAAGATAATTAAAAAACAGTAACCGTTGTACCGCCAGACTGAAGTTGTCGAGGAGAAGATAACTCGTGCTAGAATTATTTTTTTTTAGTTCTACAATGTGAGTCGTGTAAAAAACGGAATCTGTTCGATTTTTATATTTTAGTAAATATATAAATAAAAGTAAAAAAAATTAAAGATATAAAAAACGCTATAATACAACAACCAACGATGGTGCTAAAATGTGTGGGAATAATGATGATAATAATTTACATTATACATTTAAACAAACTTTAAAGTTTACAGGGGGTTTATGAAGATTGAAGAAGTTTTATAATTTCATTTTCAACATAAAATAAAAATAATTTAAAAATCATTTTAATTTACAATTTTAAAATAAGTAAACTTAAAGTAAGCCTATAATGTAAAAAAAGCATTTTTTTAAAATAAAATAATAATTGAGATATCCAAAAACAGTTAGAAACTAAGTTAAGCTAAGGATATTTTTTTTAAACGCCATCAAGGTATGGACTTTGGAAAAACAAAATTAAAAACGAAAAACGAATTTTAAATATCTTCGAAGTTAAATTTTACTTTTATTTGAAAGATAATATCCAAAAAGCTAACTTATTAAAAGAACAATTAATTTCTTAAACGTGATTAAAACTTTTAGGTATTTTTTTACAACATTGTCATTATTAGGCGAAAACGGTAAGGAACAAATTTAAAAATCTCTTACAAAAAAATCCGATATTTGTCCTAGATTTTTCGAAGTTATATAGTAAATAAATTTAAGTATGAATTAACTGGCTTTTGTAAAAGTAACGTTGATTCTTTACTTAAAGACTAAACGAAAATAACATTTATTTACGCACGATAGCATGTGGGGTCAGAGGTTAAAAACGAAAGCTCTATAATTCACCCCTGATTTAAAAAGCGTGCAAAAAATTAAAAGTAAAAATTAACGAAATACGGAACACCAGCAGTGCAATAATCAAGAATTTGGTATTTATGTTTAAAATAAAATTAAGTTTAATCCTATATGACCAATAACTTAAGAATAAGTAATTTTTTTTAGTAAAATGATACATTTGAGTTTAATACATTATTTTTGATTTTATTAATTATTTTCTTACAAATTTCATGCCATAAAATATTTAATTGCACCCAATGTAATTTCTTTTTACATGTTCTGAATTTAAGAAAATGTTTGGAGTTTTTAAGAGGAATAAAAAGAGAGAGATTATAATTCTTCGGTTATTCTATTCAAACTCTAAAACCATGTTTAATTCTGGTTCCTGAGATAAAAGGTACAAAGGGAAGAAGGAGGCAGAGACACTAGAGATGAATTTGTAGACTCGTTTTGATATTAATTTACACAATTCCAGAAAGACTGTAACTGAACATACAAATACAAAAAGACATACCGAAACCTCAAATATCACACACACTTTGCCATAGTAACATATACCAAAATATCCTGTATGTATATTACTTTTAATTGTATATATATGTTTTGTTGGTTTCTAAATTGAATGTCTTGTTTTTGATTGTATTTAAAATTTGTTTATTTATTTGTTTGCGGATGCAGAAAGTCACGCAACCTACACAAATTCCTTTTGATTCACTCAATTACAATTAATTAATTCTGCACATCCCCAACAAATTCAGGAACTATATTACAGTAACAATGGTCTGTTGAAGGGAAATGCCTTCCTGAGCAAAAGACTTGTGTTTACTCATGGAAAGTTCAAGGGAAAAGAGAACGATTCTTCTCGTTTGTCTCTGGCACCATGAAGCCCCTCTTTTCTCAAGCATGTTCCATTTGTTATTCCTGTTGGGAGCATCCTTGGAGATTCTTCTTTTTATTTTATTTTTTTTGTATTTTTATGTTTTTTATTTTATTAGTATACAATCCCCACAAATGTATTAAAATGATGGAGTTATTACTAGCAAAAGAACAGACAAAATTGGTAAAGACTTATTGAATTGGTAATATGTTAATTACATTCACTTTGAGATCTTTCTTAATTATTCACCGGCATCTAAGTGACAACATTATTTGTATTTTTTCTATAAAATTATTATAAATGTATATAACCAATGGGTTTACAATTATTTCTTCTATATGCTTTTATGAAACTTAGTAGACTGTTCAAAGACAAGAAATCAGAATTGTTTCTCTTATGTACATCCATATAAAAAATCTAACCATTGCTAAAAGGAAAAAGTAAAATAACATTTGTTTAAAAATGTTCAATCTCAAAGATGACATTAAACTTTACATTTTTCAATTCTTAAAACATGTCTCTATTTAATAAAAGAAAATCTTGTGATAAACAGCAACTGGATGAATTCCAGACTCACATTGAAGATTATAAATTTTTTGTAAAAATAAATATTAAGTATAGTTTTTTTCTCTCCATTCTGAAAGAAAATAATGTTTTATTAAATTATACAAGCACCACAAATTTCAACAGTGTTCTAAACTTCTACCTTCATTTCACCACAACATGTAAATCTAATTTTCTTGTTGGAATAGGTAAAGTTTAATAAATAAGATAAAAATATTTCTTAAATCTCCTGAAAAGCATCACCTACTCATCATCTTCTTAACAGGGGAGTTATAAACCCCCTAACATTTATATAAATACAAAAATACTTGTAGAAAATGAGAAACAGCAAGATGTAGAAATGGAGAAAAACAAGTACTATTTATTATACGGTTGACAAATATGTTTCTATTGTGTGTTAGGGACACAAGAGACAGTAGTACTGAGATAATTGTATGTAGACTTTCTTGTAGCTTTTTTTTTCTAATGCGTGTAGTCAGTGTCCAGATAATTTAGTTGGCGCAAAAAAGGAGTGGGTTTTTTTTTTACCTCAAAGAGAGGACTGTAGAATTACCTCCCTTGTCAAGTTACCTCCTCCTAAATTTCGAAACCACCACTTGGGGGAGCTATTGAATTACTATATAAACTTGGTCATACCTTGCCTTTCTCTCTTTCTTCTCACTTTTCAGCTGATATGACAAGATGTAAATCTCTTGCAAAGATTGTGTTCCCTCTCTTGTGAGGGATCACTATATGTTTCCTTCAGTAAACACGTATGAACATTACTCACACACACACATATGTATGAACATTCAGTACGCATACTTTGACCACAAACTTTCTATGTTCATTCATACACACTCATATCAATTGTAACCCTTATTGTTTGTTAATACGCATATACTTGTTTGTAGATATATATACTGGTCTTTGTTCTTTTCTTCACATTTTTCTTTTACATTTCTGTTGGTGGGTTCATTCTCTGAGAGACTCTGCCATGTTTGTAGTGGGCCCCATTTCAGAAGACCACATGTGTTTAACTCACAATGCGTACACATACTGGCTCGCTACAGGACAAATGCTAACATTGTAGCCTGAAAAGTAAAGGAGCCAAAATTTTGGTCAACCCTTGTCCAATAGTGGGTGTCCCATACTTGTGTGCAGTAGAAGAGAAGAGGAGGTTGATTGTCATTGGTTTAGAAAGGGTGAATTGTATTAAATGATAATTATAATTGTTATAATTATTTGTGATGGTATGATTAATTTTCATTTATTTATTTTTAATGGACACGACAATCTCCTTAGAATTAATACCAGCATTATTAAGGACAGATCAATCAGATGTGTATTCGAACACCTCCACAAAACCAAGATGTGTATTCAAACACCTCCACAAAACCAAGATGTGTATTCGAACACCTATACAAAACCAAGATGAGTATTCAAACACCTATACAAAACCAAGATGAGTATTCGAACACCTCCACAAAACCAAGATGAGTATTCGAACACCTCCACAAACCCAAGATGAGTATTCGAACAGCTCCACAAAACCAAGATGAGTATTCGAACACCTCCACAAAACCAAGATGAGTATTCGAACACCTCCACAAAACCAAGATGAGTATTCGAACACCTCCACAAAACCAAGATGAGTATTCGAACAGCTCCACAAAACGAAAATGTGTATTCAAACACCTTCACAAAACCAAGACAGTGAACATGCAACAACATTCACCAACAAATAGGAGAAAGCCAACTTCTCAACTTGGCTGATCTGAGTGCCAAAGTCTTTTATTACTTACTTGCTTAGATGTTTACTTATCAATTCTTTTTAAATTCTTGATTACTTTCAGTGGTTTATTCCTCCTATCAATAAATCATCATTATTATACTTTTGTATTTAGGGCCAGTGAAAGAGTCTTGTAGCCCCCACCCCGAAACTATGACATGCCCCACTCCCACTCTACTAGATCTCAATTTTCATAAGGTGGCAGTCATAGAAAATATAAATTTTTATTGTAATCTAATTATGTACAATAATGGATCATATGCAATATCAGGTGAACAATTCAACTAGAAAAATTGAAAATAAATACATTGATGATTTATTGTAATATAATTACAATTTTAGCACAAGGCCGAAGAGGAAGTGGGGTGAGGCTGGTCAACCCAGATGATCCTAAACCTAGCTAATCTGAATTGCAATCCATTCATTCATTACAATTTACTCTAGCTACTCATCCATCATCATTTGATCCAAAATATATCACAATACTGCATATTCACAGGGATCCTACTAAATTACCCACAACATAAAAATTTGATAATATGCAATTTCTTTTTTTTAAAAAAAATATATAAGGCATGAAATGAGGTGGGTTATGAACCCAACAACAAAAATAAAGCATAATCTAACATTCAAAATAAATAAATAAAAATAAAATGTATCTGAATAGAAATTTGAGACACATCATAATGGGTCATTCCATCTTAAATAAATTTTTAGCAGCAATTTCAGATTTTTCTTGTCAAAAAGTTACATAATTTTAATATATCCAACATTATAGATAAGAAATAGTGAATTTTATATAATGTTTTTTTTTGTTTTGTTTTTTTGAGACTTAGCATGAGCAAAACAAATTTGTGGAATTTGAATGGAAAAAAAAATGACTTAAGAATGTCATCAAAATCTGCAAAAATTTTTCATCCTTTAATTGTCAGTTGTGCTTAGTTTAATTTATAACATATATAGATGTAGGTAGAAAAATGAAAATGTTGATAAAATAGCGAGGGTTTACAAAGTACTACTTGGGACCCTCAATCAGGCCTGCCTCCCCTTGGTTGAGTTTGTTCAGGGTTAATATGTATTGGCCCAGTTTGTACCTCCCAACCATGTGGCAAAGATGCAAGTCAAAGCAATGCAAGGAACCACAAATTGTGATATGATGGGCGATTACTCTACAGAATATAAATGGAATCAAACACACAAAATTTTCTCATGTTTGGCATCAAATCGCTGCAGATATATATCCTGTTTAATATTACCAATTCTGGAATTTGTATTCAACATAATCATCATCCTTTGACCTCCCTAAGGTTGATTGGAATGAAGACAATCCCTTTGCACACTGTTCAGTCCAGTATTGCTGTCCTCAGATCCCCAATGTCCAACCTTGAGTTCTGAGCTACAGTGTCTAGGAAAGTCAATTTTCTTGAGAAGACACTTCCAGAAGGATGCCGTAGGATTAAGGATGAGATGATTTTTCTGTCCGCTTTGTTTGATTTCATTTCGTTGTATGCTCCGGCCTTCTTTAGGTGGTTGGAATGTCGAACTGAACCCTTTATTTCACTCACTGGGGTAGACTGTTCTAGTTCCACATGCCATGTTTAATGGATATTAGTTATCATTTATCTCCTGTTAATTCCCATCTGCAACTTCTCCACTGCCTTAACTGGGTACTGAACTCACACTCTTTGGGTCCTGTCACTGAATCTGACTAACGCCTTTATCCACTGTGCCATGTGTAGGACACATGGCACAGTGGATAAAGGCAGTGGATGGGTTACAGGTCAATTTGTGTCTGTATCATTTCTCCAAATATTTCCTTGTCATATCTTGAACTCATCTTGTGTACTACTGCTGACTCAGAGAGGAAGTTCCATAGGTTGATTACTCTCCGGGGAAAGATTATTTGTCCCTGTAATATGTTGTACTGCTCCTTAAGGGCATTCCTGCCATGGACCTTAGAAATTGAATTTGCACTTAAATGAAGAAATGATCCACAGCCATTTTGTTAATGCCTTTCATTATTCTATTCTATTTATTGTTCTTTATTTATCCATTTATTTGCTATTTATAGCTATTGCTTATATGTTTCTTTTTTAATCACAACAATCTGGTCAAATAATTAAGTGTAAAACAAAAAGAAACAAAATACTCAGCATTATGATAAGAAGTGTAGAATTGCATGAAAGAAAAGCCAGATAAAAATGAATAATAATGACAATATTCATATAAGAGATGTGAACAATGTAAGACTATTATATCTACAACTATGAGGTATAAGCAAGAATTTTGGTTTGGTTTGGTTTGTTTTACAGCATATCAACTTCAATGGGTTATTTAATGCCAACAGAATGTTTATTGCTGGTAATTTTTTTTTTCAAAATGTATTTCTAGTAATATATTTTCCAAAAATGTATTGCTGGTAATATCTTTTTTTTTATAAAATATTTCTGGTATTAAAACCTATTTTTACACTTTCAAAACCTCCTAATCAGAGGCCTAGCTGTTGGACGTAGTTTATCATCTTACCCAGGGTGCGGATGTAGTTTATTGTTATACCCAGAATGGAGGTATAATCAAGAAACTAAATTAGATAAAAGAAAAAGTATTTGAAATGAATAATTATAACAATAATTCATCTAAGAAATTTTCTCAACTTAAGACTACTACTTGTACTGCTATGAAGTATAAGCAAG